TATAGGACTGTATACTGGATGTATAGGACTGTATACTGGATGTATAGTACTGTATACTGGATGTATAGGACTGTATACTGGATGTAGAGGTATATAGTGCTTACTTTCTGCAACATTTAATTTAGTATTGTTGACAGGACATAGAACTGATGAAAACTATTGGTGTTCAGAATATTTGCTGTTATAAAAATGGTTTTGCTCCATTTTGTTCATCAGCCTTTGGTCATTGAAGTAAACTGAAAGTTTTACTGTAGTTGAGAAACTAGCATCTGCAGCACAAACACAAGCTGTAATCTGTGTAGAGCTGTGATTTCTAACCCGGGCCCAGCCCGACCCTTAAGTCGGGTCGGGCCAAAATAATGTGCTTGATGGGAGTGCCGGGTCAGTCTCGGGCTTTTGATAAGGTTTTACGAATTATAAAGCACAAGTAAAACTAAATAAGAACGCACAATATAAAATTGTGTTAATCTACTTGTTGAGGAGGAGGCAGGTCCGACCCGCCGGTTGAAAGAGGTAAAAATAAATAAAAGTTGTGTTAAGCTTCAGATGGATCAGCTGATCACCGGCCGCGCGCGTCTCTCCACCTGCTGTCATCTGAGGTGAAGGAAGTATCTGAAGCTACAAAAGCCGAAGCGAGCAGCGCGTTCAATTAAAATAACCTTGTTCTATGTTTTTCCAAATAATTTAGCTTGAAAAGTATTTTGTTCATCTGTAAAATAGTCGATGTTTAGAAATTATTTTTTTAAGCTATTTGTTTTGTTTGTTAATATCCATTTGGTGAAACAATAAATCTGATGTCTTCCTTTCTTTGAAATATGTTTTTAAAATATCATGTCCAACTGATTTGCTTACAAAAGCAGTAAAAGCTTAATTTATTTATTTTTCGGGTTCGGACCTGTAATTACAGTTAAATGGTCGACTTCGGGAAAAATGGCTACGGGCTGGGGTCGGATTTTTTTAGACCCGAATGCAACTTTAAATCTGTGTCATCACGTTTGTCACACTTGGGCTTAGATTAGAAGTGTCTTCTTCTTAGTTTTCAACAAGCTGGTTTCAAACCAGTTTGGGGGCTCCTTAAACTGTGTGGATGCAAAGATGAAAATACATTTTAAATGCTTGCGTATTTAAAAAACACCGTCCCCATGTGGACAGGGCCTCACAGTGAGTCCAACCAGCTCCAAAAACAAAACCAACTAAACGAAAGCGAAACACCACCAGGTGTCCAGCTCCACTTGGATTATTAAAATCTGGACAAGACATTTTTATAAAGAATAATTTTGACAAACAGTTCAACAAATCATCTCTGAAAGATTCCCCTTCAGTTAGTTCACTTTCAGCTGCAGCAGTCTAAAGGTGGTTAAAGTGAAGAAGGTTTAAGAATCACATCGAGGCGTTCACACCTGTTGTTAGTGTAATCCAGATTCATCTAACCACCAAAACCAGGTTTAGAACCAAGGTCTAAACAGGCCCAGATATCTGTGAGCAGGACGGCACAAAATGAGCTCCAGAAAGAGAAAAGTAAAATCCAACGACTGCTCGTCCTGAAACGACGTCAGAAATCAAACTTGTGCAGCGACAGGAAACATTTTCAGACCCAGTGACACCAGTTGTCCAGGTTCAAACGGAGTCACGGGATTAGAGAGGAGGGTTCCTCTCCAGGTGCTCAGAGGTTCTGACGGTTCAACAAGAACTCCAGCAGCTCCTGGTTCTGACGGTGCAGCTGCTGTCAGGGACGTGCTGAAGCTACCAGCACCACTCTGACGTACACCAAACGTGCACAAGAACGTGACAGAAACCAGGTCAAACATCTGAAGAACAAAAACACAGAGGGTTCTGGAAGGTAGAAGCGGGTCAAGTGGGTCAGCGGCAGGACAGACTTCAGCAGCACTGAAAGCAGAGTGGAACCCAAACCCACCTGGTGAGACGCTAACGAGCTAAAAGAAGGAGACGCTTAGAGGTTAGTTCTGACTGTGAAGGTTCCTAAAGCAGCGTGAGATGGAGCCGGCACCAGAACCTCCACAGGACGGGTTCTGAGGAACTCACAGGAACCTGCTGGAAGTTAAGTATGAAGACAGGATGAAGGAGAGGGAGGTGTGGTGTGTACCCTCAAACGGTTCTGCAGCTGCCTCCACCAGAACATCCTCTGCTGCAGCTTCAGCTGACACCAGAACCGGGTCCTTCAGATCCTCTGCTGCAGCTTCAGCTGA